GTGGTTCTAGACTTGTGGCTATGCACCTGGGGATGTAGCCCCGTGTGCAATCGTATCCTATTAACCTGACTGTAAAGGTACCTCCGAATACCCTACATTTTCAGTTTGCCTTTGGTGCAGATGCCACTCAATATAAATAGACAATATTCTATTGGTGAAAGCATGCAAGTTTTATAGAGCAGCAGCTTGGCGTCTTTAAAGTAAAATCTACTGACTAGTCAACCCATTAGGATCCTAAATTTGTGAGTTTGTGATGCCGCTTGTTCAGAAAATGTGAGGTCACCTGAGTATTTTGGCCCAAGGTCAAAGCAACCTTTAAGAACAGGTGGTTTCATAGACTGAAGATGTGGTTGCATGTTTACCGATGGAGCATCAAAACGTATCCAGACACATTTACTTGTATTTAACTGAAGTCTGTCAGCAACAGATTATGAGGATGCGATATCAATCTCCTTTTATATTGGTGCTTGGAAGTCCAGACTCTTCGATAGTGTTCAGCAGGTTCCTGCCTAACCTCCGGCTTTTTAGGTTGTTCTGTTCCGATGAAGATTGAGAGTAAGGGCATAAAATCTCCTGATATAACCACCTAGTCATATCCCATATGACGTAAATCCGCGCATTACTTGGGGTAGTTGCCGATTACGTTCCATCTAGCTAGTAGCGGTTTTAGATGCTCCTTTTGCCAGATACATGGTGTTTCCAAATAAAAATGGCACCAGATGGAGTCTAAAGGCCCTTTTGAGATGGTCACTGATAAACACTGCCTCTCCATCACCACTCTCATGCTGCCTGCCTTCCCTGAACGGACGCACAACATCCATGCAAGCCGCGACGTCGCTAGTATCCGGAATTAGCCAAGCTTCTGACAAAATTGCGGTCTCCAAAGCCAGGTAGGAATAAAGCGATTGTAATTTCCCAATCCTACCTCGAACTCCCCCCACAATGCTGTGAAATTACTTGAAAAAGCTCCCAAAAACAAAGGGTGCTTAAGAGGTAGCACTTCATATATCTTGCGTTTCTGCATAAAAATTATCATAACACAGTCCGTTGTATTCTCCTTCGTTTTGTATTTTCCCCTGTCAACGTTCTAAACTTTTTCAGTTTGTTCCCCAAGTTATTTGATATTAGCTTATTCGCTCTTACATGGGATTGACTTCTGCACAAAAATACTTTAGGATTTGTCCTGGTGCGAACTTGACAGGCGCAAAGACCAATCACTAATTATTCGTAATTGTTATATACCCATGAATACGAGACCAAGGAAGAACACGATAGCGTAGCCGGATGGAATAGTATATTTGGATGGTTGTGCCAAAATACCGATGCGCTCCAACTAACTGGCTAGAGAGTCGAATACGAGCAGTGCAACGTAACACGACAGCGTGCCAAATGGCCAGGATGCTTGACCGGGTGCCTTCAGCTTAGCGAGTCCAGTTAAACTATCAAGGTCAGCATCAATGTCGAAGTCGTCAAACCCTAGGCTATTGATTTTGGGGAGGTGTTTGACGCTACGACACCTACAGAACTTTCTTCGCGTTGGACTATATATTTACGAATATACAAGTTGAAAAGTTCATCGAAAACGGGGTTCATCTTCGCTGTGACTGCTTTTTTATTATTTATTATTATGGTGCAATATCGAATGAGAGACACTTTAATTGCCCGCAAAAATTCAAAGTCTATATGACCGATGAGTTAAGCATGTAGACTGTTAGCCACGGGGAATCCAGTTCAACTCTTATCTTTCCACAATGGATTGTTTATGTGACATTGAGAACAGGAAAACAGTGTTATTTGTTCTCCAGTGAATGGCACGGTTTGACTGTGTGAAATATCAAACAAACCATGTAATATGAATTTATACACCACCACAGTGCATGTGTTCTACTATTATATGAATTTTTATCCTGTTAACTATGTATGGAAGTGTGAGTTTGTGGTTAGAGGTGAGTAAAACGACCAAAAAGGATGATTGGAAAAACTGGTTGGTGTTGCTCAGAATCAACCTTCGTGGCACAAATAAATTCACGCTGTCTTCATCGTAGAATTATGCACATATGCTTCAATCTGTCTTCTTTGGTTTTGTGGCTTTCGAAGACTTATGATTATGTTGCTTTCACATCTGTATCTTTTGGCTTATTCACTCGTATCTTGATGATACTTGCATATTATGTTCAGTCTCAGTGACGACTTTTCGGCATGACCAAGTCATCATGGTGTGGGGTTTCAATCCCCTAACTCTCAACCTGGCACAGAATAGGAGAATCTAAAAGCATGCATTAGATTGGGACGCACTGACCCCCTTCACAAATGCTGGGCTGCATGCATACATCAGCGAATCCACTCGTTGTAGCTGGAACGGAACAGCTTTCACGCTAGACTATCTTCTTAAGGGAAACCATCTGCTAACAGAAAGCGTTAAGGTGTAGACCCCTCTCCGAAGAGGTGTTCACGTTACGGCAGCGTTTACCTAGTAATTAGTGAACAAGTGTAGTGGGAGGGATCTCACCCTGGGGCAACGCAGATTACGCCTCTATGAGCTGATTTATGTCGACAGCGTCGTGGCGTGAGAGTGGAGTTGCCCATTAACTGGCCAACCCTGGGGAGTAGGAGGAGACGTCAGTAACGGAGCTTTCTCCATAAAACATACCCGCAGCTACAGCAATACCTGAAAAGCGGACTTTACGGTCCTCGAAGTTAACCCCTGCCATGGTCGTCGAAAGCTGTCGAAGCTCCGCACGAGGAGGTCATTGGAAGGCAACTGCATACAACAGTCTGCGTTGAAACGACATGCAGGTGCCCTATGGGGTCCACTCTGTAACCGGTTCCAACGCTCCTTAGATAAACACATGCTTCCACCAGAGTAGAACCATTCCATTCCGTTTCCAATCTCCAAAGGAAGAAACAGGCAGAACTGGAAATGCTGTCAAAAGTAGCAGAGAGCCCAGCAGATGATCACGTCAAAGAGTACTTGGACAAAAGGGAAGCGTTGGATGATGCTTAACACATTTTTGAAGGGCCAACTCCTTCCCATCAAATATTCTGACAGCCGGTGATAACTGGATGGCGTGCTAGGACCTATGTATTGCTGTTTGTGGGATTTTCCTGGACTTTCCTGGGGCAACAGTCTCACATGCCGTTCTCGCAGGCGAAATAGCGAGGTTAGTAATTAACCTTTGGGTTCTACCCTAGCGGGAAAACTATTAAGGCCGTAGAGAATTCCGCTCTAGCGTCGACAGAGTTTGATCGACCTATAGGACATCATCATCTGGTGTATCACAAGGAGGGATTCTGGGCCTGCCGCTGTTCCTCCTTTTTGTGAATATTCTCCCACTGAGTTCTAGTCATCTGATTCCACTTTCCACCGATTTTAGGTTGTGGAGAGGTGTGACGTGCGACACAGAATTAAGTGAGCCACAAAGTGGTCTTTTAGAGTGTGTGAATGATAAAAGACTAGTCTTTAGTTTGAATAAGTGCCAAACCGTGTTCCTTCACACTCTGAACTTGTAAAAGTATCTTACTCTCTCCGTGGTGGGCATCTCCACGAGACCACGGAGAAAGCCCCTAAACTAATACTGGCTGACAAGCTAGACATCAGCCCCAGCCATCCAAGGCATGACTTCAGAGTTTACCTAGTACCGTACATCATGCTCAAGCAGCTGGGTTCACTCACCCCGAATCTCTTCCTGAAGATGAACATGACCTGCATATGACCTCAATTACAGGTTCACAACATCACTGCATATCATGCCTGAAAGGTTGAAGTGCAAAGTCTTGCAACGAAGGGTAGTACGAGGGTGCGGCCGAAACCCTATGAAGACAGGCTGCAGGGACTGGAGCTAGACTGTCTCCGTTACCGCAAGCCACGTGGCAACTTGGTGGTGCCCTACGAACTAGTAAGCAATCTGAGCCACCAAAACGGTGGAAATATACAGAACGGTCACTGTGGCAATCCTCGTGGTAATCCAACGGGAATGTCCCATCAAAGGGTGAAAACCCGTATACAGTCACACCTTTTCCCTCTTCGGGCTTCTGGCCACTGTAAAATATTACATGCCAAGACTATTACTGCTGTCTATCTACAGTTTCAAGATAAGATCGAACAACTTCACAGCAGTACATGGCTCGCGTTCATCCAGCCGGACTGGGTTAATACAAGCAGCTGATGTAACACCACTGTAACACAGCCAACCACACACCGAATCTTTAATACTGCCGCCGTTATCATGAACCTGATTCAAGCTCATACTCCACTGTTAGATGCTTCACGTCAAGCTACATACCTCCGCTAATAATGCAACTGTCTTTTGTTAACACTATCCTAACTTTAATCTTACCCGTTCCTTCTCCCTCTGACTCTATGTTCCCCCCTTTCATTTCGATTCTCCTTAACATGGTCTTCTTTCACCTCCACTCTGAATGTACCTAGGTTTCTCCACCCCTCGTTCTGCTTCTTTTCACTTTGATTTTTCCCATCTCCCCTCCCTTCCTTTCTCTGGAAATCTTTTCGCCACTTTTGTCTTCTCTCTGCAACCAGTCTGAGTAACTTTTTGACGGCAGGAAGAACCCATCTACTCCGCAGTCCTAGGATAAGTCACCCAACCCCTAGAAAATCAACCTACACCCAACCGCCCGTCAGATATACCTGTGCTACGTCAGGTGAATGCGTAGACCTACAGCATTGAAATCCATCAAACACCTGGGACTCAATTATTTTATGCAAGCTCGAACAAGATCGCAGGAATCGGAATCTGAAGGCATCCAACCATGAAGCTACTACTACCTAATCAAAAAGGAAATTTCAAAGCTTAAGTTTTCCTAATGCAAAAGCGTTGGGAAGGATTTTCAGTTTTACAATTTAGAAAAACGGGATTGTTCGAAAACTGTCTTTGATTGTCTAAAATATAACTAAATTTCCGAGCTTTCAAACCTCTGTGTTTTGTTACAGCACATTTTAACCTTGAAAAAATCTTTGACACTACTACTTTTTAAATTCCGATATGTTAAGTGCACTTAAGAACTCAAAGCCAAAAGATCAGGAAGCGTATGCAAGTGTGATCGATGGGCTTAGCAAACTGTACTTCAATAAACTGCTTCCCCTGGAGAATGCTTATAAATTTCATGATTTTCATTCACCTCCACTTGAGAAGAGTGATTTCGAGTCGAAACCAATGGTTTTGCTTATCGGACAATATTCTACTGGAAAGACAACTTTCATTCGCTATTTAATTGGAGAAGATTTTCCTGGGATTCGAATTGGCCCTGAGCCGACCACTGATAGTTTCATAGCTGTGATGAATGACGTCAGAGCTGGTATTATTCCAGGGAATGCTCTTGTAATGGATCACAGGAAGCAGTTCAAACCTCTTTCAAAATTCGGAAATGGGTTCTTAAACCGTTTTCAGTGTGCACACATGCCAAATGGTGTTTTGGATGGGATAACGTTCATTGATACGCCTGGCATTTTGAGTGGAGAGAAACAACGTGTCGATAGAGGTTATGACTTTTCAGGTGTCATTGAGTGGTTTGCCGAGCGAGCGGATCGAATTATCTTGCTTTTTGATGCCCATAAACTCGATATTTCAGATGAATTTAAACGAGTCATTGAAGTCCTGAAGGTAATTTTTCCTATAATTTCATTCTGTGTAGTGAAATTTCATGAGGTCAAGTCGACTGTTACTATTCTTCTAGATGACACTGAAATCTTCGCTGTCAGTTTTTTTAATTTCCAAAGTAGGTACCAGTTCCCAATAGGGTATATTTTTACATAACGGATAATATCTCGGCAATCAAAATTTTTAACCGGTGTATTTCCACCATGCAAGATATATATATATATATATATATATATATATATATATATGAAAACAGTCAATATTGTCGCAAGATTGGGATGAGCAGCTAAGGAATAAGCATCCACATGAGTTGGTCGCAAGATGTTAACCTATAACACCCCTGTATGTGCAGTGCTTATTCACTTTTCCTGTTAAGCAAGAGTGACAGTTTGCTCGGACGTCATTCTGCATTTTAAGATACTAACCATCATCAAAATAACCTAACACAGATGCATTTAGCCACTTAGCCGTGCGAATTGGTTTAGAACTGCATGTTTCATGAATTTTAGGTTTGCAGACATATGCTAGTGTTAACGAATGCGTAACGTTTGACAATGACTTCTCGACAGTTAAGTTTTGAACTTTTGACATAAGTAGTATTAAACAATATGCAGAGGGTCTAGAATTCAAATTTAAAACGAAAGATAATACAAATTTGTTTAATTTTAGTTCACATGTTATTAAGTGGTTCTGGTTTGGTTGAAACTTTCAGGGTTGGCAAGATGATTTAACTTTGAATTGTGTAAATTGGTATAGACATAATTTCTTTCCCTCTAGTTCAAAAAATTGAATGTGTGATCATTCTAATCCTTTTCACTTAAGATGCTTCGTTTGTTATAGTTGCACATTTCTTTTTACTCTGATTATGATATGAAAATTTATTACCTGCTAAATGCAGCGTTCTGTTTACGGTGTTCTTTGTTATTTCACCTTATCACTCAGTTTACTACTAGTGACAAGTCTTAAGGCAGTTCTGTCCTGACATGTGATTTAATAACACTGTAAGAAAGTAGGTAACCTGTTAACTATGATCGGATTTCTATTAAGCATTAACGCCCACGTGTAATTGCAGTATACCTATTTAAATCCCATTCTACATTAGATCAATATGAAATGATAAACATATGACTATATTGTCATCTTAAGTATTTTGGTATCGTTATTTATCTTTGTTAACGTGTGTCGTGTGTTATTTACATGTCAACTAATGTTCTGTACACGATTTTAACGCCCTAGCTGCCTAATTTAAAACAAGATGAGAAAAGTAGAAATAAACTCAATACCACGTGCACGTTCGTGTAGTAGGCAATTAACCAAGTCTTTTGTGAAAGTTTTTGATACTGTGCAGTTGTCAAAACCGTGCTAGGTGGAGTGGTATTTAATCTCTTGACGGACTGATAGAAAGTCGAGTGCCTAAACCAGTGAGCCACAGTATAGCAAATAACCACCTGATGGCGTTCACTGTCTGTGAACAACACCCCTAAATGCAGTCAAACTTTATAACAACATATCTCGTTCAAAATATTGTGTGGTAATGTTAGAGCGTAATTACCTTTTCTCCTAAATCACCTTACTATTAACAAGGTTTGTAATTTTAAACGGGGACATTTCAACTTTGTGTTGGTGACTATCATGAGATCTGATCCCAATAACGTCTTCATATGTAGCAACATAGACAGAGCCCTCACTGCCTGTTTGCCTGGGTTAGAGCACCTCTTGTTCACACTTAATATGCAAGGATAAAAAGACCAAAATAATGCCATTTGTGTTCACTAAAGTTAAAAGTGAAAGATAAAGAATAAAGGGAGTTTAAGAATATAAGTGGAGACAAGATGTAGATGCATCTATATGACTGCTACTGATTAGGAACCATAGCGATACAAGTTTATAATCGCCGGGCTTCCCTAGCTTGTTGACCCCAACAAGAAAGCGTATATTTTCATGTATGGCTCAAACTGACCGCCAGGAACACTGATTAAAACAAGACATGACTTCTGTTCATAGTTTTATACTTCTCTCATCCTGTTCTTGTCTGTGCCTACATTGCGCACTGTGGTAGACAATAGTTAAGTGTAACAATTTCGTAAGGACTCAATGTCATACAGTTTATGATTTTTTTTAGTACCTCTGTGTTAATATCATTTATTCTTGTTTCATTACCACATGGTTAAAGAGCGTGCATTACTGCATAGCACACTTCGGTCAATACACATGCACATATCCCTCTCACGTAACGGATAACATTATGCGGTGGAAGATAAATTTGTATTTCATATCCGCTCTGAGACTTCGTCAACTATTAGTACTTCAGCTCTAGTACAGCTTTTTAAGTAATCGTAATATATGACGAGAATAACCACTTTCCCTTTTAATGCTAAACTAAGTTCAGGTTCAAATCTGTCCAGCAGCAACAATTTGGATTGAGGAATACATCTAAAACTTTTTCATATTGATACCTAAAAGACTGTGGCATTAACACGAGAGAATGCCTCATCTGCTTTCTTCGAATCTGCTGAGTAATGCGTAGAAAAAGACAGAAATGTGACTTTGTAAAAACTCTGATTAAAAGTATAAAAATATGACCATTCGGAACACATACTACTCAGTATTATCACTGCAAAAAACAGGCTCATAGAAGTTTTTAAGTCCAATCTTCAGAAATGTGATGTTTTTGCCTGCACCTTGTCCTGCCAACCAAACTTCCAGGAGACCTGGTCAACATAGTCAAACATGGCATTCAGGTTAATTTTCAGACAATGTTAAGTGTACTTGTGTTTCGTAATTTGATAGGAGATAAAAATAAATTATTGCATCAACAAATAAACCTGAAACCCATATGTTTCTGTCAGATTTTATATTTGTAAGCTCCATTTTCACCACCTGCCAACTGCGAATCTCAAAATCCTAGGAATTGTTTGTTCAATTCCTTCGTAGTTACCACAAAAGATTACTTTGATGCTGTCAGCGTATATTTATGCAGAATATCAGTGATAACGTCACCTTTGACTTCGAAGTTCAGTAGAAAGATTTGTTTTAGAGTTTGGTGGAGGGGCTTCTTGACCCTGCTTTCACATTTCGGTCCATAAATCTGGATGAATAACCATCCTATGAGAGTCCTCCACAGGTTTCTTTTTTGTGCTTCATGGCGTCATTGTTAGACACGCTTTTCGAATCCTTGAAGATCGAAAGCATCTAAAATTTATTTTCTAATTTGAAACAACCAGACTTTCGAAGTTGGTCGACTACCCATCTCACGTGGGTTTTTTGTGAACGTATCTTCAGATCGAATCGGCAGTCCTTCTTTAAGGTCTGACAGAATAACCCCATCGAAATCCGAAGGAGATATTCCGATTGGAATTCAAATTCTGAGTTGACATTGTCAGTGAAACTCTGCGTAAATGCTTGTAGAGGTTAATAAGCAGAACTTTCTGTGCTGCAAGTCTTCGGATAACCCTTTCATTCCAGGAAATACTTCGTCAATATGTGAATGAAAGTTGACGTATTAAGGTTCATCAGTTTATTCACAGGTTCAGTTGCTGCTGTAGAGCTAAATGTGTTGTTCTTAGTTGGATTCACTTGCGAAAAGCAATCACCAGCTGATGACAGGCGAAGATAGGACTGTATTGTCGGGCATCTATTTAACCCAGGACGTTTAGCTCATCTCAGGACGTTGCCTTGGGCCCTGTACAAGTCGGACCAAATCACCCAAAAGACGTGAGGCTGAGATATTTGTATGCAGCTGAAGTAAGTATTGGAAACCCTTAATTCCAAGTCAGCAGTATGTCCTAAAATAATGTAGGCAGTCAATTTTCTTGCTGTGGCCTTAAAATTATTTCATCTCATTCGTTTTTTGGTGCCCCACCTATCTTGCGTTTCTCCATAAGAATTATCATAACACAGTCCGTTGTATTCTCCTTCGTTTTGTATTTTCCCCCGTCAACGTTCTAAATTTTTTCAGTTTGTTCCCCAAGTTATTTGACATTCGCTTATTCGCTCTTACATCGGTTTGACTTCTGAGCAAAAACACCTATAGAACTTTATTTGCGTTGGACTATATATTTACGAATATACAAGTTGAAAAGTTCATCGAAAACGGGGTTCATCTTCGCTGTGACTGCTTTTTTATTATTTATTATTATGGTGCAATATCGAATGAGAGACACTTTAATTGCCCGCAAAAATTCAAAGTCTATATGACCGATGAGTTAAGCATGTAGACTGTTAGCCACGGGGAATCCAGTTCAACTCTTATCTTTCCACAATGGATTGTTTATGTGACATTGAGAACAGGAAAACAGTGTTATTTGTTCTCCAGTGAATGGCACGGTTTGACTGTGTGAAATATCAAACAAACCATGTAATATGAATTTATACACCACCACAGTGCATGTGTTCTACTATTATATGAATTTTTATCCTGTTAACTATGTATGGAAGTGTGAGTTTGTGGTTAGAGGTGAGTAAAACGACCAAAAAGGATGATTGGAAAAACTGGTTGGTGTTGCTCAGAATCAACCTTCGTGGCACAAATAAATTCACGCTGTCTTCATCGTAGAATTATGCACATATGCTTCAATCTGTCTTCTTTGGTTTTGTGGCTTTCGAAGACTTATGATTATGTTGCTTTCACATCTGTATCTTTTGGCTTATTCACTTGTATTTTGATGGTATTTGTATATCAGTGTTGGCAGGTGGAATAGTTACAGAGTGAATTCCTTATATGGGTAATAATCGACTGAGTTTGATCGTAATCCCCTTTATTATTATTATTATTATTATTATTATTATTATTATTATTATTATTATTATTATTATTATTATTATTATTATTATTATTATTATTAGTGTCTCAGGTTCCTAATTGAACATGGGGCTTCAGTTGCATGGGAATTCCCTTTCATGTTTTGCAACTGTGCTTCGAACCTTAAAAAGAGTATCAGCCTTTGAAAGGCTGTAGTTTTGCTATATTTTGTGAGACACAAGCTTTCATCCACAAGTTATTA